TTATCGATATTGCTAATTAATATTTATTTATGTAATATCATTTACTTTTTTTATATAACATTACAATTACATGTATTTACCATTATTTCCTTATCGTCGCATCACCACTACATTACTCACTTTTTTATGCAATGGGCAGCTGTCAGGATGAACCTATCTGACGACAGCGCCCCCAGATGAAGGATTCATCGTCGGTAACTAAAAGCCTGGTATCCGTACTTGTGCGGCTCTGCCTCTTGGCCCCCACGATGCGCTGGCCGGCTGGGAGGGGGGTGAAACAGGGTCAGTCTGAGTATGGAGAAGAAGTGAGTGTGTTGGGGTGTTGTGCGTTGCGTTGGGTGGTGTGTGTGAGTGTAGGAGCATGGCGTGAAAGTGGCAGTTGTAAAACGTATGATTTCCCATTTCTCAACATAAGCCTATATTTCAAATCATTGTATTTCGTATTTACTAATAAAAAAAATCACGATTTTCACAATAAACCACAAATAAAGCCATCGTTATCATGGCAATTATATGCGTGCGTTTTGGGTATATATATATATATATATATATATATATATATATATATATATATATATATGTGTGTGTGTGTGTGTGTGTGTGTGTGCCTGTGCTTGTATATGTGGGTGTGTGCGTATGTATGTATGTTTGTGTGTGCGAATGTACGTATATATGTGCGTTCGTGTGTGTGCGTGTATGTAACCATGTACGCATGTATGTGTATGTATGTGTACGCGGAGACAGACACTTACTTAGAGGACTTCCTTCAGCAGCGACTTGGATCGGATGAAGCATGTCCTGGAAAATAAGTTTTATCACATAAGTTACAAATGATTACACACAAAGCATGCAACTTGTTATATAAAGCTGAACAAATAAGATTAATTTCCGCTAATCAGAGGCAGTTTAGACTGTACGGACGACAGTGGTTACGCTTCTCCTCGACTTTTAAACGGTATATCATTATTATGGATAGCGATTAATAAGAACAACTATTTATTTGTAGTTGGTAGAATATAAAATGTATTCCAAGCTTATAAGAAGAAAGCTTACACTGAACATCAAAGATAATGTTTTCTTCCTAGATCTTCTCAACAATCTATGGCTATCTATTCATCTGTACATTTTATAGCATTTTATGATTCTTTTTAAGAAGCTCATAGTGTTGAGGTCGCAGCCATAATCGCAACAGGATTTATCATAACTACCATATCAGTCAACAAATTTTGTTGAATTCCTATACACAACCGTAACACACTGTGTAACAAAACTGATATGTAGTCATCCCTTACAACAGGTACGCTAAAATTAATATTCGAGATGTGGAATGGAAGGGAAACGAGGCCGGATAGTAATAATAATACCCTGTATGTGTAGATAAAAATGGCACACTGGTCCTTCCTCACGAAATCAAAGTTTTTTATATATCTTCATAATCACTTTTGGAATAGTAAAAGCCAAAAATAAGATCCGATTTTAGCTCATCACTGAGCATAAACTTCGTGTTTCCATCAGTGGTAAATGTACGGATACAATGATAAACCATTTATATATCCACTTTTGCCTTCCTCGATTTCTATGTATTGAGACAGCGAAGAAGAAGAGAAGAAGAAGAAGAAGAAGAAGAAAAAAAACACCATCGGTTCGATTATCCGCTCCTAGATGGCGCAGCTACGAGAAGCATTTAAAAGTTCTTCCTGATTTTGCAAAGATTTTTACTGGATTTAGCTAACATACATAGATGTTTAATGTATCGTTTTCATATTCTAATGATGTGCAGTTATAGTTTATACCTGCTGTGCTGATAGAAAAGAAATGCCTCACTTTCGTTTACGTGTTGCCATTATAAAAAAATAATAATTTAATTGAACTAAATATATACTTCCCTACAAAATCAACGATATTTAATGTTACATGTTTGATAGTACCTATTAGAGAGAAAGAGAAGACATTAAAGGTAATAGGTCTCTGGTAAACTACAGGTCGAATAATAATCTATATAATATATATATATATATTATATATATATATATATATATATATATATATATATATATATATATATATATAATAATAAAATATAATAAAAAAAATAGTAATAATCACAATCACAATCTATGTTACTAGCAACCTGGGACTTCGCTTCTTTTTATTAAGATATTTACGCTATGTTTACATGAAAAGGCTGCCAGATGTACGACAGACGGACCCATCAAACCACCGAAATCTACTTGCAGAACTGTAACTTCAGGAGTTTGCCAAAGTGCATAGACGAGCCAATAGCCTTGTTCAGTGCATTACACGCTGTACGAACCTCGTCAATTCGTACAATTAGTGATTCTACACAATCACTATAGACTGAATCACACTCACAAGATGTGTTCGGTCTGGAAATGTTATTGTTGGCGAATCGCGCCTCCCACAGGTGCGAGACGCAAAGCACTTTTCTCTATGTTCACGCAAAGAGAGTTCTGTAATGTGCGAAGTAAATGAAATGCTCTCACTTTCTGTTTACTTATTTATCAGTACACATAGACAGAGAACAATGGTTGCATGGAATATACATGTACTATAACAAGATAGTTCCGCTGCCGTACACTCGTACTCCCAAGGACAGTCGCAGACAGACACGCACGCCCTGGGCAGCCGGCGCCAGGACCCTCGGGCGTGCTGACCTAGCATGGCCTCACACAAGGGCTCCGATCATTGGTCGTGTGACACACAGGACACGTGGACGGCACTGGCACCCATGCAGACGGAATCTTCCATTCACTAGGAACTTCCACTCACATATTATATCATTCATACATCTGTACTGTTGTCTTGCCACAACGCGCTTCTCTGAAGATTGAACAACGAGGAAAACTCATGGGATGGAAATAAAGAAGTCATTTGCTGTTTAAGGAACATGCAATGGTTTGGCACATCCTTGCACATGCACTCGCTATGTTGCATACGACACTCACGGAGCAAAGATAGATATCAACAAATCCACATAATAATGGATAAATTGGGTAACTTTAGTCAGTCGTAGGAATATGCGACTCCGAAAATAAAGATAAATAAATAAAGATAAATAAAGATTCTTTGGCCACAACTATTATTCCTTGGTTCAAGGATTTTATTTCCGAAAACCTCCGACAGGCGGTCACATATTGAAAATAAAATAATTGGGTGTTTTGACTTTTGCTAAGAGATCACTGATTTATGGAAACGTGTAAGAGTCGATAAAAAAGAAGACAAAGAAAGAAAAAAGAAAATACCGATGACAAAACAACACGTCTGGAGTCAGTCCTGTTCAAGAGGCCACAGACAGGCAAGATATCCTCTGACAGGACCGGAGACACTGTACTTGAGAACAACGGCAGAAACCATCGGCTGTCGCGGTTTCTGAAGGTCTAACTGACTAGAAAAACAGAACATCGGAATCAAATCGTACCGGGTCTGGATCGGCGGGAAAAAAAGTCGATTTCTCAATTGCTCTTCTTTCGAAAATCGAAAAAGGAAAGTGCGTCGGATCTTTAAACCAAGAAATAATGGAACGAAAATTTCTAACGCTATTAGAAACCGAATAACAGATTCTAGCATTTTATTGGAAATCCAATAAAAAAAATTCTGACAATCTTCTAAAAAACACTAAAAATTCTCTCAGTATGAAGATATTGAATATTTCAAACATTTTACAGGAAACTCGGTAAACGTTTGGGAAGAAAGTGAAATAATTACGTATCTCTAACCAAGACTTCTTGTGATTCACTTAGAGAACTATCCACATTACGCAAGAAATCTAACAAATGTATCCGATATTTGTACATGCAGGCAGAAAAAAAACAAAAAAACTATGTATCGCTGTTTGAAATTATAGAAATATATTCTGTAAAAACAAATCTACATGTCTCCATAAGTAGACTCTAATTATTACGAAATTTGGGCACTATTATATGGTCTCTTTCGACAACACACAAGATTTTCAGTCTTGCAATCACCAAAATGCAACACATAATCTATCTAATGAAAGTAACTTGACATTAGACAGTATTCAAGTCCAGAAATACTCACAAGTTTCCAAAGTGGCACCTCAGCCGCGGCAGAAACGCGAAGGGCTGCAAGAAGGAAGACTATTGTCGGGCACATGTTTAAAGCACAAAAGCCCGTGACAGAGTGAGGCTCGTGAACGACAGTTTAGAAATGCACAGATGATCTGCTGACGGAAGCACATCGTTGTATTGGGAACACGAGGGAAGAGGAGGATAACACAAGCTTTTAACTGCTTCCTTGTTTTGAAACATCTGCGTTTAAGGCGGAGAGGAGAGAGGAGAGAAAAAGAGAAAACAAAAGAAATAATCACAAACGGTGGTTGTGAGTTCTAACGTAATTGAGAATGAGAATGAGAGTGAGAGTAAGAAAGAGAGAGAGAGGAGTATATATATATATATATATATATATATTATATATATATATATATATATATATGTGTGTGTGTGTGTGTGTGTGTGTGTGTGTGTGTGTGTTGTGTCACATAATATATATAATACACATACACACACACACACACATATATATATATATATATATATATATATTATATATATATATATATATATATATATATTACACACATCCATATATACACACATATATATACATACATATGAATCTACATACATATACATATATAAATCATAGAAATACATAAATATATACTTATGCATATCACGCGAGGTCCGACCTTCCTCGCCCGTCGCCTCCGGAAGAAGAGTCCGCCCGCCCTCCCGCCTCGCCTCACCCATCCGCCCATCGGCTGCCACGTGGCGCCGAGATCGGGTCGCGGAAGGTCGCGTCACGCAGCCGTCGCGATTGGCGTCGAGTCGTCGGGTTCTCGTTCGCTTTTGGTACTCTTTAAATCCAAATCCTCTCTGTTGTTGTATTATAATATATATATATATATATATATATATATATATATATATATATATATATATATATATATAATATAATATATATATATATTCACACACACAC